TTAGTAGTGCTTACTAAACTTTACGAAGCTGTGGTGGCTCCCACATGACCATTCATCATATCATATTTTTTAATTTTAATTTTAAAAAATAAATTATTAAATAATTAATAAAATGAAAGAAAATTAAATAAATGGTGTCGCTCCCTCTTCTTCTTCCTCCGCCCAGATCCGCCAGCGCTTTACCTCCTGCGCGTCTGAAATCGCCTGCCACCGCCAAAGAACCTCCTGCCGCTCCGTCCAAGTCAAACTCACCCGCCGCACCGCCTCCAAAATTCGAGAACCGAAACTTGACGCCGCCCTCAAACGGGAACCCGAATTCCCCAGCTGCGACGTGGAATTTTACCAATAATAGCATCTTTTTTAAAAAAATATATAAAAATAGCACCCAGCCTATAAAAATTACAAAAATAGCATCATTTTAAAGAAACCGCACCTCCAAGGTGCATTTTATAAATAAATCGCACCCTTCAGGTGCGTTTTATGTATAGACCGCACCTTGGAGGTGCGTTTCGTGCCACGTCAGCCTGGAAACCGCACTAGGCAGGTGCGGTTTGTGTTTCCTCGCCTGCGGCCTTGGAGACCGTTGGATGAGGTGGCGATCCAACGGCTGACCGCACGCCACCTCAGCGATCCGCGCCATGGATCGAGGACCGCGGCCTGCAGGTGCGGTCATCGCCTCGAGAAACGCAGAACGCATCAGGAGGGTGCGGTTTCAGGAGGAGCAAAATTACCAGACCGCCCCTGGAGGGTGCGGTCTGAATAGTATAAATACCCCCTCCCCCCCTCCCAAAAGCCTAGGAAATAGTGGTCTGTTGGTTGCGGCTAAGTCTGATCTGCCATCAGAAAATATTTCTTTGGTTTTTCCCTCAAAACCCGCCGAATTTCTGTCCGACTTTCGCGAAAAAATGGACGAGTGGTTCCAAGGAGAGGGAGTTTAGTATGATGAATTTCAAGCGGTATGTACTCATTATACTAGTGGTTCCAAGGAGAGGGAGTTTGTATGTAAACCGCAACCCCAAAGTGCGGTTTTGCTAGGTCAGCCCAAGACCGCATCTAGGCCATGCGGTTCTGTTAGGTCAGACCCAGAACCGCATGGCCAATATGCGGTTTTGGCCCAGAATGCTAAACTGCACCTTGGGCGTGCGGTTTACATACAAACCGCACTAGGGGGTGCGTTTCACAATCAAACCGCGCCTTAGAGGTGCAGTTTTTAAAAAAGGATGTTATTTTTGTAATTTCTATGGACTAGGTGCTATTTTTGTAATTTTTTTTTAAAGGTGCTATTTCTGGAAAAATCCCCTGCGACGTCTGCTCCCGACCCAGGGACCCGAAACGGGTCGGAAAAACCTCAGAGCGGCAGTGATCAGGTCGTAGGCCAGATTGGGTTCGTGGGTCAGCGATTCAACGAGACTGAAGAAGTGAGACCCAATAGCTGATTTTTTTGCATTATTCTCTGACCAAATCTCACCGGTAAATCAAATCAACTGCGAGAGAGCCGTCGCCAGATTAACAAGACAATGAAAAGGAAAAGGACGAAGAGGAAGAGATTTCGATTATTGGATTTGGGAGAAAGAGAAGGGAGTTCCACGAATTGGTAAAGAAGCAGGAATTGAGGCTGAGGGTTTCGTTCAAAAGGAGGAGGGAAGAAGAAGCCGAGGGGAAACAGGGCTTTGACCCTCGAGTTTTTTTTTATGTTTGAAAGTGATACGTGCTATTCCATTTACAAAGTTAATAACGGTAACAGACCGTTTTTTTTTTTTTGCAAAGTCAGTTGGTAAAACGAAAGTCACACATGGGAAACAAGAAAAGCGCGGGAGTCGACCAATAGTCGAACTCCCGATGAGGGGCCTTTTGTGCCACATGATGGGCAACGCTATTGAGTTGACGAGAAACAAAACAGAAGGAAACATTGCTGAAAGAAGAAGCCAAGCTCCTAGCGTCCTCCAAAATAGCGCCACCCCGAACATGAAGCACATCACCTCCAAGCATCCGGCGAATCAAGAGTTGAGAGTCCCCATGAAAATGAACAGCAAGAAAGGAATGAGTTAGACACCACTGTAAGGCATCTCGTAGGGCTAAACATTCCATGATAAATGGATCGTGAATCCCATCATAAAATTTTCCAAAGGCAAACAAAACATTACCTGTTGCCTGAAAGCCGACAAAACCAACACTACCTCCGTGACCACGCTTGATCGCACCATCAAACCAGACGTTGATAACATCTGAGGAATTTGAAAGCGTAGGAGTGGCTCTGGTACCATGTGAAGGGGCAGAAATGGAAGAAACATTACCGACGGGAGGTTGAGTTGCAGCAACTTGCCCAACCGCCCTCCATTCATCCACTTGCCGTTGATACTGCCGAAATAATGCCACTGGAAGGTATTGAATGCCTTCATGAACCGCCCAACATCTCCCCTTCCAAATCCTCCAGAGAATGAAAACAATATTAGCTATCTCAATTTTCGAAAGATTCAAAGAGAAAAAGAGATGAGGCCAGGCCTCATCAGGAATCATCCACAACATATAGGGCAAATCGTATCGGGGACCAGAGTTTTAGTAAACAACACTATCTGCAAGGGCAAGAATCCGCGGACAACTCGCCAAAAAAAGAACTTAAGCTTCGGAGGCACAGGAATGCTCCAAAGAAACTTCCAAAATCGTGTGTCAAAAGGTAGCACCACCGGAGGATGCCGAAGGTTGCACTCATCAGTCAAAAGATGATAACCTGTTATAACAGTGTACAAACCCGAGGAGGAGTAATGCCAAATCAGTCGATCAGTCGAAAAAGAGAGAGGAAGAGGGATGGAGAGGATGAGATCGACACTCTCATTAGTAAACAGGGAAAGTAAAAGTTCCTTTTTCCACGTGTGAGACACAGGACAAATGAGATCCGAAATGAGAGGAGGGCAGACACTCAAACCTGGTAATAAAACAAGGGTGGACGGAGGAGTAGAAGGGAGCCAATTATCCTCTATAGTACGAATTCGAGAACCGTCGCCCACTTGCCATCGTAAACCCCGAAGAAGAAGATCTCTCCCGATCAGGATGCCCTGCCATGCCCACGAAGGACGAGAGCCTGATGACGCCTCAAGAAATAATCGTTGTGGATGATATCTTGCCTGGTAGTTTCGAGCAAGTGTACTAGATGGATTGCAGAATATGCGCCAAGCCTGTTTAGCTAGCAAAGCAACATTAAACCGATTAAAATCCCGAAAACCAAGCCCTCCCACAAACTTACTTTGACATAAGGCAGTCCAAGAAACCCAATGAATGCTGATCTCCTTATCTTGACTTGCCCACAAAAATTTAGACAACTGGTTGTTACATCTTCGACAAGTTTCTTGGGGAAGTCTGAAAGCCTTCATCGCATAAATAGGCCCCGCAGCCCCTATCGCCTTGATAACCACTTCCTTAGTCGCTAGAGATAACGCCTTGGTCTTCCAACTCCATATCCGAGCAGCCAACTCCTCTTCAATAAATTGAAAGGTCAAAGATTTAGACCGACGGAGCTGAGAAGGGAGACCCAAGTACTTGTCATCCGGAGCCATGATCGCCACTCCTAGAAAAGCACTAAGCGAAAGTAGCTCCTGCTCTGAGACATTAACACTCCCACATATTGCAGATTTATAAAGATTAACCCGCTGCCCACTAAACATTTCATAATCCGGTAAAAGTTGAAGGAGGTTAGCACATTCAGGAATAGATGCACGAAGGAAAAGATAGGAATCATCCGCATAAAATAGATGAGAAAGAGGAGGAGCAGACATGTGAACTTTTAGATCATGGAGTGAAGAGGTCATAACCGCTTGTCTAATCATCGCTACAAAAGCTTCAGAGTAAAGGGCAAAAAGAAGAGGCGACAAAGGGTCTCCTTGACGGATACCCCGTTGGGGTTGAAAGTACCCATACTCATTGCCATTGAGAAGCACCGAGAATCGGACAGTCGTGACGCAAGCCTTGATCCATTTCATCCACTGAGCACAAAACCCCATCGACTCCATTATATGAAACAAGAAATCCCATTCCACACGATCATACGCTTTTTCCATATCGAGTTTTAGGGCCATCCATTTGTCCTGACCACGAACTTTGGTTTTAAGAAACTGCATCACTTCTTGACCAATAAGAATATTGTCAGAAATGCAACGCCCCTTGATAAAACCATTTTGAAAAGGACTAATAACAAGAGGAAGAATAATACTCAGCCTATTTGAGAGGATCTTGGAAATAGCTTTATACATAACCTAGCAGAGACCAATCGGTCGCATTTGCTTCATCGAATCAGCATTCGTTACTTTAGGAATAAGAGCCAGCCAAGTGTGATTGATACTATGTAGAAGACGACCTGAATGAAAGAAAGAGAGAATGGGCTCTGATACCTCACCTCCAATCTCACCCCAAAATCGTTGAAAGAAGCTAGCTGTGAAGCCATCAGGCCCCGGAGCTTGATACTTCCCAATGCTGAAGAAGGCCTGCTTGATTTCAGCTCTAGTAACCTGTTTAGTAAGCAACTCATTCATGTCCAAAGATATCAGAGGCGGGAGGTTCAGCCTACTAACAAACTCCAAAGAATCATGACCATTAGAAGTGAAAATATTATGAAAGTAAGAATCAGAGACTTCCCCTTTCCCTTGTTCGTCAGAATGCAACACGACCGTTAGCCATTCGTTTACGCGTAACAGTAATTATGATTAATAATTAGTATTTTCCATAGTTGTGACTATAATTTCCAGCTCATTAATAGTTCTAACTAATATTGTATTTTAAAAAAAAAACCGAAGGAAAAAGAAGAAAAGGTACAGAACAGAGGTTTACGGTGAACCATACCACATAGTACTGGACCACTTACACAATAACAATAATAATTTTGTTTTTCCCTTTCCAAAGCAACCCCTCGTCGTCGTCTCTCCTTTCCGTCGCTATCCCCTACCCCTCCTTTTGTTTCTCTTCTTTTATATAAACAAAACAAAACAGAAATCCCCCTACTACTCTTGTCACTTCTCTCTCTCTCTCTCTCTCTCTCCCTCGCATCAAAACGCATTCGCCCTTGGGAGATCTTCCTCGGGGTTTTGGCTTCTCTCCTTAGCTTGTTTCTTTCGGCAAAGCGATCACAAAAAATGACGGGAGAAGCGGCGGCGGCGGCGGAAGTAGGGGAGATCAGTAGTGTGTCGCTCGATCTTCTCAAGACGAAAATGGCGGAATTCGCCAGGGAAAGGGATTGGGATCGTTTCCACAGCCCCAGGAACCTGCTCTTGGCTCTGGTATGTAATGCTTTCCCCCAATTTTGCACCCTCCTCCACCTCGATTGATCTCTACCTTTTTCCGTTTTTCCCCTCTCCGCCGTTTTTCTCTCTATTTATTGATTAATCAGGGCAGGTCCATGATTTGATTTTCGCTCTCTCGCTAGCTATCTTTTTTTTTTTTTTTTTTTTTGTGTTTGGCGTGGTGGGTGTTATTGTTTTCTGTGGTTTGACCAGATTATAGTACAGCTGGATTTTGGAATTTCGGATGATATTCTCGTCCACGATTTCTGGGGGTTGTGGGGCATTCTTAATTTATTCGCTCAATCAAGTGGGCTGGTGATTACAACATTTTAAAATCGAAATTCCTTCGCTTAAATCCCCAGTTAGGGTTTTGGGTTGGTTGGTGATCCGAAGCTAAAGCTAGATTGTGGTGAGTGCAGGGCGGCGGCTATGGCCGAGAATCCATTTTAGTCAAAACTTCTCCCTTTACCCTTTTAATGTGTGTGTGTCTGTTTGTGTTGGGGCGAGAGGGAACCCACCATCACAGTCCCTAAAAGGAACCGAAGGAGACATTTCAACCCAACAAAGAAAAATGTTTGAGAGAGAAAAGAAAATAGAATGAACCCATGAAAGCCCAAAACAGTAGAAAAGATTTGGTACTACTGTTCATCGAGCTTTCGATTTGATTATCTCCCTAGTCACAGTGATTTGTTACTCTGTGTGCAGGTTGGGGAAGTTGGGGAGCTATCGGAGATATTCCAGTGGAAAGGAGAGGTGCCAAAGGGGCTCCCGGACTGGAAGGAAGAAGAAAAAGTTCATCTCGGGGAGGAGCTCTCTGACGTGCTGCTCTATCTTGTCAGGCTCTCTGATATCTGCGGGATTGATTTGGGCAAAGCTGCTCTCCGCAAGCTCCAACTTAATGCCATTAAGTACCCTGCTGCTGCTGCTGCTGCTGCTGCTGCTGCCACCACCAACCATTACAGCAGCACTAATAATGGTGCCACCAAAACTGAAAAGGAGCAGCAGAAAGCAGCAGAAGCAGCAGTTCCGAATTGAATTCATTTCAAGGAATCCCCCACCCAAAAAAGCAGCCAATAAACCAAAAAATCCAAAGCATAGCACTTTCAGTTTTGTGTTGAGTATCAAGAGGGAAGAAAACCAAGGAACATGCAGTCAGGAAGCTTTCATGCTTAGCAAATTATCCTATATGTATTATGTAGGTGGATTAGTGTCTTAGTTACTGCTAATATTATTATTAGTATTGTAAGGCACACGTGATACGTGGTAGCTGCTGGTCTCATGAACCCGTATAATATAATATATATGTATGTTCTTCTTCCTGCATAGAAAGTATCCCGATCGATGTTTTAAAGGAATGGGCTTTCACTTGCTGTTTTCTTTCTCGTTCATCGCATCTAATGAGGGTACCATTGACAAGGAAGAAAAGAATATAGTAGTATTATTAGAGTTTGACAAGAAGAAGAAGAAGCTCAGTCGAATCAGGATGGAGAGATATGGGTGGTGGGTTGTTTCCCTTGCTTTTGGCTTTTTGCTCTTTCTGGATCCTTTGTCCCCGCCCGCCCGATACATATCTTCAGCAACAGCGTACCTTTTTATCCATAGCTTACATTGTAGGCTATCTCATCTTCTCTTTTCTCTCCGGCTTTCCATTTATGGAGGTGAGTAGGGATGACAATTTCGACCTGATCCGATCTATTCTACTTGTTTAGCTTGTTTTGGGGTGAGTCAGACCCGTTCCGTAGGTGGGGTGGGGCGGGGCGGGCACGGGTATCTTTCATCGACCCGACCTGCCCTGACCCACCCCATTCTCAACTCGTTCTTGTCTAAATTACGTGTAATCTTAGTCAAATTACTTAGAATTTTTCTCTTATTATATTATATTTTCGCTATAATAGAGTTGTAAATAAGTGAAAACCTCAATTTCTTCAATTATTTAACTACATTTTATCATATTATTGTTTCTTTCTTGGTCTTTTAATGAAAATAACGAATATTTCTAATGTTTTTCGCATAAATTACATACCCATTGGATAGACCTACTCTGACCCGCGCCCCGTAATAATTTACCCGACATGGACCAACCTACTATGGGACGGGCATGAGTATCGAGATATCCGCCCTGACCTACCCATTGTCATTCCTAGAGGCGGGAGTAGTACTACTGTGAACAGCTTCTGCTATAGAAAAGCTTATTTCTCAGTCAATCTGTTAATAACTTTAATTTGAGTCGTCGGTTTGTTACCATTCCACCAACTGAATTTAGCGAGTGAGCTCTAGCCAATGGTTTAGGGTTTAGTAGATTTAGTTCTAACTAGTTCTCATAACTTGGTATAAGCTAGTATTGGTTTGCAACTTCTGCAAGAGAATAATGAATTTCAGAATCTACGGACTAGTTTTTGTTGAGCTGCTGAACAACTTACCATTCAACTACCAGGTTGCTGGACATATATGTGGCGGTCTGGTGGATCGTTTATTTTATGGAAAATGTGCAAATCCATGTAGTTGAAGTTCAACGCAGGCAGCGAGAGCCAAAGAGGAATTAAGTGATGGAAAAAGGGTGAAAGGGAATCAAATCGAATATATATGTGTGATGTGAAATACACGTGCGTGTTATATAAATCAGTGTGCTATGTTCACATACAATTAATTATTATATGTACTTATATATTTTCATTAGAATAGTCGATTACTATTTTTAGATTTTAATGAATTTTGTTGTTTGTGATAGAGGATTAGAGACTGCGGTTCACCAATTAGAGATTAGAATATAATATTATGCCTCAAACTCCAATTAATCCATTGCCTAAATGGTAAATCTAGATGGGACAGGCAGTAGCCAGCCACTCATTTTGTTTTAAATAGATGGGAAGGGTTAACCTTAGGTAACCAGTTCGCGGAGCGAAAGCGGGAGCGAGAATGAGAACGAGAGCCTAAGAGCGGCTATTCTAAAAGAATTCAATATGAGAGCGTGAGTAGAGCGTTATTATTATATTATTTTTAATAAAACTTAAATTTAAATTAATTTTAAATTAATACATGTTTGTTTATATCATTAGTAATATCATTTTTTTTTTGTCGGAAAACGAAGTGCTTAAATGGCGCCCCCAACCTTTATTCTCATCGGTAATATCATTAGAGTTAACAAGGAAAATTTTATAACATGAAATTAAATCAGATCAGATTCATATTCTTTTTTATAAAAAAAAATTAGTATTTTTTATGAGAAAAGTGGCTCTTATTATCTTATTTTTTATTTCAAGTTATTATCCCTTACTTTTATCTCTCATCTTTCGGCCACACAAGTCCAAGAATTATTTAACTTCTTCTTCCTCTTTCTTCCCCAACATAGTTGTTCTCTCTTCTCTCTACTTTTAACTTATTATCCAAATCTCTAATGACCTATGCAATGTCAATGTTTCGAATTCCTGTTTGTGTGCTACAAGAAATTCAAAAACTGATTTCAAATTTCTGGTGGGGCCAACAGGAGGATGAAAAACGTACACATTGGTTACGATGGGAGGAGGTCAGCAAACCAAAGAAGCAAGGAGGGTTGAGTTTTCGTGATCTCTAATGCTTCAATATGGCCCTACTTGGTTAAAACTTGTGGAGATTGCTAAAGGAACCAAATTTCATCGCAACTCGTGTCTTGAAGGCTAAATATTATTCACGTAGGGATGTTTTGGAGGCAGAAAAATGGTGAAACTCGAGTTACATGTGGAAGGGACTGATGGAGGCTAAGGAACTTATCAAGAAAGGTTGTTGATGGAGAATTGGAGATGTAAATACTGTGGATATCTGGCAGGATAAATGGATCCCTGATACTGAGGGTTTCAAGGTGAAATCATCAGTCTTAAGGATTGGGAACACTACTTTGGTTGTTGAGCTAATGGATTTAGAATTGAGACTATGGAGACAAGACGAGTTGCAACCTATTTCCACCCAGAGGACAGAGAACAGATACAGAAGATCCCAATTCCTAGGCAACCATGTAGGGATGAAAGGGTCTGGAGCTTGGAAACCTCGGGGGACTATTTTGTAAAGTCAACATTCGACTTTGGAAGAACAAAGAGGAAGAGGAACTGGGAGAGCTATATATACGCCAGTTAATTGGGATCGTGTCTGAAAATTACAGATACCTCCAAAAGTGAGATTGTTTGCATGGAGGTGGATCAAGAATATTCTTCCTACGGGGGTCAAGATTTTCAAAAGAACAGAGAAGGGTCATGTGGGTTGTCCATTCTGTGACCTACCAGAGACTCAAGAAAACGTATTCAAGGATTGCGCATGGGTTCGGATGGTAACTAGACCTACAAACATGTATTTATTGTTCGAGAAGGGGGGAATCTCACCTGTGAGGAATGCAGTGGCGGACCCAGGAATTTTACATAGGGATGTCCTCTTTAAAAATAAAGTAAAATAAAAATTATATAATTTTTAAATAAAAATACCCAACTCGTACAAGTTAAAAAAAGTCAATGATGTATTTTCATATTCTAAGAAAATTATAAAATACACTTGGTGTCTACACTGCTCAACAAATTTGTCTCGGTAATCATTCATGAATTGAAGCATATTTGACTTCTAAATTTGTTCGTGATGTAACTCAAAGCTAAAAAGACACTTTCAACACTTTCCGTACAACCATAAAATCAATACAAATTAAGGGCAGCTTGTATTAGATTAATTGTTAGGTATTGAAAATAATTAAAGATAGAGAATAGGGTTTTGCTATTACACCGTGTTTAGAATAGAACAACCAAAAAATTGTAGCCTAATGGAAATTATATTTATTAGTAATAGTAGTGTCCCAGGTTTGAATTAACCCAAACTACCACTTATATTCCCGTACGTAAACTATAAACAAGAGTAGGATAATCGTTCTTTCAAATTTCAGAGTGATTATTAATTATATTTTTTTGTCCGTAAATTACCATCGAGAATTGGATAATCGATCTTCCAAAATTTAGGGGGTCCTGGATCCGCCCCTCGAGGAATGGTTTTGTAGCTTACAAGAGACGGAGAACGACGAACAGCTCGGGAGATTCCTAGTCGCCCTATGGTTCATTTGGGAACAGACAAACAGTCAACTATGGATTAAACGAAAACTGGAAGAATGGGAGATAATAGCTAGAGCACAAGATTGGTTATCTCATATCTGAATACCTGGAGCTGCAGAAGAAGGAAGCCGAGCCGGAAATCAGAAATGACGAAAGCTTGAGACCATCTCAGACCGCGGACTTCACGATCTCGGTTGATGCAGGCTGTTTACCGCGGCAAGGAACTGGGATGGGAGCTGTAATTAGTGGAAAAGACGGTCGATTTGTGGCGGCGGCCGTGAGACGCACCCGGAAACGATGGGAAGCAGCGGAGGCCGAGGCTATGACGGTGATCTTTCTTCAGGATGGAAATGGCGAATTGCCTCCCATCTCAATTCAGACAGATTGCCAGGTGGTGACATGATTGATTACAGGCCAGGCGGAATCTTCTCTTGAAATGGGCCAAATAGCAAAAAAAAAATTAAAAAAAATGAGAATTGGGCCAGTCTTTCTCCAAGATTGAATGGGTTTTTGTGAAACGGGCCCATAATAAGTTAGCCCACTGTATGTCTCATGTAATTTACAATTAGGAGAAAGGATGAGTTTTGGGTGGATAGACCATCAGTATTCTTGGTTTCTCTTCTCAGTAGGGCTGGGAAACGGTGCGGTCTGGTCCAGACCAGACCATATATACGGTCTACGGTCCAGACCGAGAGGCTAAAGTATAGACCACAGGCCAGACCACAGACTGTACGGTCTGGTCCAGACCACGCCTGTGCGGTCTGGTTCGGTCTGGTCTGGTCCAGATAGACCACACTCAACGAAAAATGAATAATTTGTTTAGTCAACCACACAAAAAATTGAACCAATAACCAAGAAAAATAATTGTTATTTTCCTTAAAACATTAATCCTAACATGCATGAATAATTTTGATACTCTAAATCTTAGTACATAACAAAGATACAAAGTAAAAGCATCCCAGCTTGCACCATAATGTCATAAATATTAACATAATGTCATATGGAGATACAATTATCTCTACTCTGTGGTTAAATGTGGTTGTGAATGAAGGAGAAAAGAGATTCACAAAATTAAGTTTGAGATTTGGGTGTCGTTGTGGGAGTTTGGAGAGTGGTCGAATGGGCTGTTAACACGTATTGACAAGTCAGTTGGGTCTACGTTTTGGTCCGGTAAACCGCGGTCTAGACCAGACCAGACCAAGAGATCAAATTATAAAATAATACAGACCATGGACCAGACCAGACCATACTTCACGGTCTACGGTCCGGACCAAACTGTGCGGTACGGTTTGGACCACGGTTTTTCTAACGGTCTGGTCTATTTTCCCAGCCCTACTTCTCAGTGAAGAGCAACTATGTTTAAACTTTAAACTTTACCAATTAATAATAAAAGTAGATTTATTTCTTAAAAAAAACATAAAGTTTATTTGGACGTAGGATAAGGTTTAAGGTTGTCAAACCGGTTTATGCCAGTGTGCCGGTTTAGCAAGTTGAATGGTTCGACCGGTGGCACATACCGGTTTGTGCCGGTTCATGTCGGTCAATATTACAAACAAAATTATAAATATTCATATTTAAACATGACATTTAACGTCAATACCTAAACATTTATACTTGAATCAAACAAATAACATCAATATTTAACTTTTATACTCGTAAAATAAATAATAAAATAATTTTTATCAATTAAATTCACTAAAATAAGATCATTTTACTTAGAGATTCGTATATCGATCATACCGGTATTGGTTGAACCAGGTACAACCGATGGCACGCCGGCCGGCGTGACAAAAAACATCGTATATATACTATAACTAGCTTTTTACCCGACCCGTTGGTCGGATGAATTTAGTTTTATTTATTATATTGTTATATTAATCTATTTTTTCATATTTTCAAATAATTTGGGATCGTCTAAATAATTTATTAGTGGGTTGAAACTAATATTTGTGCGAATTATTGATTGTAACATTAGTTAGTTTATAAGTATTTGTATTGATCATGATATCGCTTACTGTTGTCTATATATTTTTTACATTTAAGAAAAAAATCACTTCCTATTGTTAGAATAAATTACTTAAAAATATTTCTTCATAAAATTTGATATTATTCACTTATTTTTCTATTATATCCATGAAAATAAAATAATTAAGCATTGAAGTATTAATTATAAACTCCAAGGGATTTTCCCTATTAGTAATTTGGAGGGATAAAAATTTATCAAATAAAGGATTCAAATTTTATGGTCGACAACCATTAGGTACAAATTTAGAAAATACAAAATTATTAACTAATAATTCACTTTTAAATAATATATATCTCCAAAAGCACTTGTGGTTGTTCATAGCTAACATTAATGTATACGGATAGTACAATTGTATTATAATGGACATATCTGAAATATTCCAATTATTTCTTCAAAATTTTAATTAAATAAGGCACTCTATAGTTCAAACATACAATCATTTGTTGTGAAAATTAAGTTTCTGAAAAAGATTCATGATTTTAGGAAATCAATATGGATTTTTTATAATTGATTTTAGTGTTGCCTTTGATATCTAAAAGTCAACACTTATAGATTTGTCTACTATGCCATTTGAAAGATTCTAAAAATTTATAACAAATATGTACCACCAACAAATAAAAACTTTTTTGTCAAAAATTTATGTGCCCATAAATTTGTTCTTAGCTTTGTGCTCGGCTTTTAGCTCGATAGTATAACATATGCTAAATTTACGACAGTCCTTGTGTCTGCCACCTATTTCATAGCATATTAGGTTTCGAGTATCCACAAATATTAGTACGCTTTCAACAATTATGTTTATAGTTACACGTATACTAACATTATGAAGTGAAAATTTACAACAATAAATAACTATAATAAAGAAAATTAATTAAAAAGAATAACATCCGTAAAGCTCAAGAAGTATTAGTGAATTAGTTGGTAATCTATTATCCTCTTGCAAAAAAATGGACAATTACATTATGCTCATCGCTATTTTTGGAAGGTCAGATGATCAACAATAAAAGTCGGGGAATTTCAAGAAGATTCCCAAAGATGTTTCCCTCCCTCCAGGCAAATGATCGACTTTGCTTTTGCTAGTAGAGAATGGAGCTGTTATACCTGCATAAAACAATGTCTCTTGAAATAGTGTTTATTTTCAACAATTTGCACAATTCCAAATTAATTGATAGGTCAACGCGATCACATATTTTATTGACTTATCTGTTGATCATTATAATTAGAAGCAACAAATAAAATGAAAAGCATAGTGATAAAGATGACTATTAATACCATAGACCGATAGACGCATCCCTCTTCGCTACTTTCTGTTGGCAACTATGGAAAAATAGAAACCTCTGGGCCTTCGAGAGACTATTGGCGCCGGCAACCCAGTTAGCCTACCAAATCCGGCAAATGCGAGTGCAGATTGATCAATCTTCCAGGAGGATTGGGCAGGTTCTCGGGGAGGCTACAGAGCGGGTGGAAAGGGGAAATAGAATAGGGTTTGGGATTTTCACAAAAAGGCTACAATTTCCCCTTTATTAGTTGTTCTGGGCGTCGCCCACCAAAGTGAAACCGTGTCTCTGAGTGCCCAGGTGCCTAGATCAATCGCCCAGAGCTAGACTGGGCGATTTCCTCCTGCCCAGCTATTAATCGCGCCTAGGCGAGAGATTAATCGCGTCTTCTTGAACACTGAATAAAAGTGGACCAAACAAAGACATTACATCAAACTCATTTCAGTTCCATCTTAACACAGTATCGGAGGCATGTACTATTATTATACAAATGATCTTACGCTCTCAATTAGGAACTAAACGAAGGTTAAATGCTTGATTGGCAAACTAAATCAATGAACCTAGTGATCTTAAAAAAAAATTAATGATCACATGATTTCTTGAACCAAACTACTAAAGGAAAAAAAGAAAAAAGAGACCGTACATTAACATAAGAACTCAACAAATTACTTATAAGAACTAATGACATAAGGAAAATGTAAACTCAAACCGTTCTTCCGAAGGTCATGGATTAAATCATTAGTTGTCGATTACATAGCCTAAACTGCAAGTTATATCCAAAATAGAGGCAATTTAGAAACAAAAAAGTTAGATAAGAAAGCCGTGAAACACAGAAAAATTGAGTGAACAAAGTGGGAAGTATTGCTTTCAATTAAGCTTGATTATGTTGACATAAAGCAGGCACACATTGACGTTTGAAACCTAAACAAAAAGCTTAAAAAGTGGCAAGAGAATTCTTCCCTTGAGATTCAAATATAGCCTACCTATATGAGCAGAGCCAAGTAATTACCATGATTCCATTTTACACATACCATCTCACAACCAACTGCTGCTAATGCTCTGGTCCGTTCCAAACCTCACCTGCTCATATCTCCAATACCATATCACGAAACCAAGAATTATACACAACTAAAAGATCCAATAAGGAGAGTAACTTAGCATGGAACTTTGTGATGGGGGCAAATTCTATGGTCAGTATTAAGTTGTGCAAATTATATCACCTCCTCCATTTTACCTCTGCAAAGCTCACTACTTCCAGTAGTTTCTCACAGAACCAGCTACCGTCCTAATCCCTTCCTTCCTTCCCAGGGCCAGAGTGTGAAAAATGGCGTCCATCTCCGCCACAACCACAGCTTCTTCCTTCATCCATGCATCTCTCCGTCGCAACCCCTCTCTAGGGGTTTCCTCCGCCCCAGTTCTCGGTGAGTACTCTTGACGCCCCCTCCCCTGAAATTCACAATTACCTCTGGCTTTTATCAATTCAGCTTGGGGGAACCAAGAAATTGAATCGATTGGGTGATATGCAGGGCTACCGTCGATGGCGAAGAGAGGGAGAGTGGTGAAGTGCTCGGCGGAAGGAAACGGAAGCAACGGCAGCGGGTGGGAGAAGAAGGGGATGATGCGCACTTCGCTGATGGCGGCAGTGGCCGCAGCAGCTGCGTCGAGCCCAGCGGCGATGGCTCCTCAACGGATGCGAGTAGCTGGAGCGATTTGTAGCGACCTTCTAGAGGCTGAAGCAGAGAAGAAAGAAGAAGCAGGGTTCGTGGCGACGGGGGAGACGGTGGTGGCGGCGGCAGTAGTTTTGCTTCTCGCCGGAAGGGAAAGCCTCGATCGTCGACAACCTCTTCGGCACGAAGATCGTTCGCTGCACTCCCAAACGCGATCTCCCCAGTCGCAGCAGAAGCAGGCCGTCACTGCTTACCAGAATTTTCCGTCAGCAGAAGCGGGCCGCCACTGACCACCAAAACGTCTGGTCGTCTTCCCATGAACTCAGCAACAGCCGGCCGTCAGCGCCTTTCTCCGCTGAACACGAAACCGTGACGCCCTCTTACCAGAATTTTCCGATGGAAACTTATTCTCCTCCTGTCCTGCGGGTAGGCGAAAGGATAACGTGGGAACCCAGTAGAAAAGGTGGGCTTATTTCAGCCAAAAGAAAATTAAATGAAAAATAAATAATAACTAAATGATAACGTGGGAAACCAGGAGAAAAAGGTGGGTAGTGGACGATTCTTAGTTCTGCAATCTGGCGGGGAGTTCTATTTTTTTCCCGCTCAACACCCTGCCACGTCAGCTTCCTAAAATCACTCTATGGACAGAAAAATTTGAATGGGGGTGGCGGTTTTACTTTTCAGCTATAAATGATACTGTTGATTTATTTATTAATTTACCAACTTTTTCATAAAATCCCATATGCATGTCTCTCCTTTTTTTTACGAGATTTTTTTCCTTTTGGAAAAGAAATCCATTGTCATTAATGCCCTAACTATTTATTTAATTTCCATAGTTTTCTCAACAACCACCCTACCGTTTTTCATCTTTTAATAATATATATATAAAGAAAGCGGTGCCCGCTACTATCTTTCTATCCCGGAAGAAGAGAAGAAGAAAAAAAAAAGTTCAAAAAACCACTTAAGCCTAGTGGCGTCATTGTCAGTTGTCACCGCGAAAAGTACTCTTCTAGATTTTCCTCGGAGTGTTGTGGCAAAGCGACCAACGGCGCGATGACCGGAGAGGCGGCAGAAGTAGCTGGGGAGATGAGCACCGGCGTGTCCATCGATCTTCTGAAGACGAAATTGGCAGAGTTTGCAAAGGAAAGGGACTGGGATCAATTTCACAGCCCCAGAAACGTCCTCCTGTGTCTGGTATATGGTTTCTCAATTGATCCCCTGTCTCTCTATTATTTGATTCCTTTCTTCTTCTGATGTATCACATATGAGATTTCTTTTTATTTATTCTTTTTATCCTTTATCTTTCTATCATTCATTCTTCTTTAATTTGATCATTCAGACGGCCAGGTTCATTCTTTGTTTTTGTGTTTTTTGTTTTTCTCTTACTGTGGTCTGTATTAATGTTACTTTGTCATCCAGCCAGCATTCATATGTTCTTATGTCATATCTCATTCAACCCCATTTTAGGAAAATTGGGTCGTTGATCTCGGTGATTTTACACTAGTATGCTTGTTGGTTGCATGGTGATGAATGAGAATGGTGGAATTCGGTACAGGTTGGGGAAGTTGGGGAGCTATCAGAAATATTCCAGTGGAAGGGGGAGGTGGAGAAGGGACTGCCAGGGTGGACGGAAGAGGAAAAGATTCATCTTGGGGAGGAGCTCTCCGACGTGCTGCTCAACGTTGTGAGGCTCTCTGATGTCTGTGGCATTGACTTGGGGAAAGCTGCTCTCCGTAAGCTCCAGCTTAATGCGATTAAGTACCCTGCTGACATCGATTACACCAATGGCTACGAAAGTAAGAAAAAAATGGGTGCCACCACCACTACTACAGAGGTGCAGAAATAGAGCAGCATAAGCAAAAATACAAAGAAGCAGGATGGAGTAAAAGCTGTTTTCTCAGTGTTGTTTGCCAAAGTAGTATTTAATAAGAGGAAGTGAAAAGAAGAGAGAAAATGCAGGGGATAGTTGTTGTAATTGACTTATTGCTTAGCTACCTTTCAAACTAGACAGTTATTGGTGATATTTATTATTGTGTTGTTTTACAAATGATCACCTGAATTGCACTATGAAAGATTAGTTACAAAGAGGGACAAAACAAAGATATCTGATGACTCGATAGTTGCACATGTTTTTCCCTTCATTTCTTGATCGTTTAACTTGGCAATTGATCGTTCTTTGGTCTATTTTACGCTAGGTTGTGTTCCTTTGTCACATTTCAGGTCCTAGCACATAAAGTGAAGCATAGGCGCAAGTTTCAAGTCAATCGAAGATCAATTGGCGACTCGGGGAAAGAAACTCGGGGATGACCTGAGGAAGAATGAATGTCTACCTCATTTTATTGACAAAGAATCATGTAAAATTGTCATGAAAAGAAAGAGGACGAGGCTACGAGCATATGGGATCAAACGATACCTGAATCGAAGGTCAAACGAGCTTAAACGAGCTCAACGAAGCTTAGGAGTGGAAGCAAGGGGTTCTGGGTTCACTTTGATAGCCTTCTGTTATGGATTCTTCTGTTGGAGATCAATCTTCTCCTGTTCTTTTTCTGGCTTTTTCTTTTGGTTTGGATTACTCTGACTTTTGAGTCCATTATTGTTTTGCTTTCACTGTGTTTCTCTCACTCCTTGTAACTGTGATTCTCAATGCAATACAAAAGCTCCTATTGTCAAAAAAAGAAGCTTATAAGTGCATATTGTAAATTGTGCACGGCCGTGCGAGTTTTCCAGGGAGTTGCACGGCCAAAATCTCAATTTGCACGGCCGGGCAAGTCGGGGGTGCGAATTTCAGCGGGTATAAAGGTTGTTTTGCGATTTTTGGAGAGGGAGAGTTGTGTTTTGATTCCCAGACACACAAGGGACGAACCAAAGAGTGAGAGGACGATTGGAGGGCATTTTTGGAGCCTTGGAAGCTCGAGGAACAAGCCCGAACTTGAAGACTAGAGGTGGCAAATGGATTGGATTGGTGGATTGGATTGGTGGATCCATGGATCAAATGGATTGGATCTAATGGATTGGTGGATTCATGGATTGGATCAAGTGGATTGGTGGATTATCCATGAATCCAAATGACATCCTCAACCAAGGACCAATATGTAAAATGTAAAAAGTTTAGGTACTAAAATGTCACAATGAAAAATTTTAGGTACCAAAACGTAATTTTCCAATGATATTTTTCGTATAAAAAATTAAATTTTAGGTACCAAAATGTAAAAAATAAAAATTATAGGTACTAAATTGTAATTTGCCAATGATCCATGGATCCAATCCATGAATCCACCAATCCAATTGGATTTGGATCAAATGGATTGGATTTAAATGGATTGGATTAGGTGAATATTTTTAATGGATTGATGGATTGGATTGGTGGATTGGATTGAAATTGCCACCTCTATTGAAGACTGATCATCTAAAGATTCTTACTGCAGTCTCTCTCATCTCTATGGAGTAACTTCTCTTCATTTAGGTTTTGAGGAACTCTAGCTATGTTTGTTTGATTGTATGATTGTATGAGTACTCCTACTTGATAATCTTTAGCTCTGTTTGTTATAGAGGTTAGGACATGTGTGTGGGACTCCCCAATTTCGAACTCCAAAACGTTTTGCAAAAGGTGCTCGAATTTGAAAAAAATTATTATTTGAAAAAATGAGGTTCTCACGTGAGAGGCAATTGGGCATAGTGTTTGAGTTAAACTGTCAAAGGGTTTTTCTCTCATTTCAGAGTGCCATTTGAGGACGCATTTGGGTTCGGATAACTTTCTAGCATCTCGATCATCTTTCACTACCTTATGCCCCCAAACATCTCTCCTCCTCACTTGCACATATGGTAAGGAGTAGAGGTGGCAAATGGATTGGATTGGTGGATTGGATTGGTGGATCCATGGATCAAATGGATTGGTGGATTCATTGATTGGATCAAGTGGATTAGTGGATTATCCATGAATCCAAATGACATCCTCAATCAAGGACCAATATGTAAAATGTAAAAAGTTTAGGTTCTAAAATGTCATAATAAAAAATTTTAGGTACCAAAACGTAATTTTCCAATGATATTTTTCGTATAAAAATTTAAATTTTAGGTACCAAAATGTAAAAAATAAAAAATATAGGTACTAAATCGTCATTTGCCAATGATCCATGGATCCAATTCATGAATCCACCAATCCAATTGGATTTGGATCAAATGGATTGGATTTAAATGGATTGGATTTAAATGGATTGGATTAGGTGGATATTTTTAATGGATTGATGGATTGGATTGGATTGAAATTGCCACCTCTAGTAAGGAGATAGTGTGCCTTCAAGCGAGTCAAGAGACCTCGACTCTTGTTTGTACCCAACATGTGCGGCAACCCGTCTGTCGTTGAGACGTGAAGTGCATGTTAAGAAGTGGTGCTCAGACAATGAATCTAACAATCATGTTCCCCACATGGAGCTGCGAATGGGAAGGCAATGTCCTTTCGCTCTTGGTCATGAGGGAGAGATGCGTTAAATTGCAAAGTGTAGTGCCATGTGCGGCCAAGTTTAAGTTGAGGGTCCAAAAATTGAGTCTTGTTTTGAAAAAGTAGAGCACCATCATGGAGTCCTTTTATTTTCACTTGTTTTCTATGAGTCCCCCCAGTACACACGTGAAGTGTCTAGATTTTCTTAGTAAACAAGGTCATCAACCGAGAGTATGCATGGCACGAAGAGATGGAAGTAAAGTTTACCTGACTTTTATTGTTTTTCAGGAGCCACCGATGATTTATAGTGCATACCATTGTTTTTTTTCCTACAAGTTTTACTGGTTTGACTAGATTTGATTGGGGACAAGAAAACATTCAAGTGCCGGGGAGTTTGATTCGGGATAGATTACATACTTTTAACCCCTTGACTTGTGTCTTTTGACTTGGTTTGCACCGTCCTTGGACCTACTTTACTCTAGGTTTGCTATTGTTTTGCATGTTTCATACCTTAGTAGGTACTGGTGGAACTGGCACCGGGATCAAAATTCAGACAAAAAGGGAGCGAAATGGGCAAAAGTGTAAGGATCACGACAAGGAGGAATTATCACGGACCGTGATGTTGACGTAGAAACTGTGAAGTCTGTACACTTCCAGGAGCCTTTAAGCAATTCGCGGGCGTTTCGGGCTGAGATCATGGTTTCATTGCATACCTCACTGGCGTGAAGTGCAACTATGAAATGGGTGCTCGAGGGCTATATAAAAGATAGTGAACTGAAAGTGAAGGAGGGAGTTCTATAGAGAGTGAAGGGTTCTTTTTCAAGTTTAGAGAGAGAAAGCTTCAAGCAAGGAGGGGAAGGAGGTGAAATTGACCTACCCAAGGCAATTGGTGGGAAGATTTCTACTCCAAGGATCCATTCAAGCGTCTAGGAAGAGGAAGAATCACTTTTATATGGATTTTTCCTCTACCTTAGTTGTTATGTCTCTTCTAGCTATGGAGTAGTCTTCCTTGTCACTTGGATGATAGGAACCCTAGTTTAGGAATGTTGTAGTTGTAGTTTGTGAACTCTATTCTGTATGAGTATTGTGATTTATATATTGATTGAGGTATTTTCATGCAAATTGGTGTTCTTTATCAAATCTTCCAATTTTGGGACAATTGACCTAGGAGTAAGAAAATCCATTTAGGCAATCCGGGTCAATCCTCTATTATCGTAGAGTGCCATGAATCATTGTGATTCTTGACTCTATGCCCTTCCGATTTAATCTTGAGGGAGTAGAATTGATTGCCTTAGTTTTCTTTTGCGGGTATGAGGTACGTCCCTCCGATTAGATCGATTAAGCTGGCTTGTAATGGTATATAGTCTGCCCATATTGATATTTGAAATACTTACTTTTTGCTACACCCGGTTATAGATTACACTTGGCCTATAATTGAGAGTGAGTTGTAGACTTGTAGTGGTAGCCGAGTTAACAAACTTTACGCTTGCATAAAAAAAAAAAGTAGAAATCCAAACAAGTGAAGTGGATTAGGGGGGTTTTCTTATAATCAACATAAGATTTCAAATGTCGCCTTATGGTACAAATATGCACTTACAAGAGTAAATAAGTTTATGCAATATATATGGTTGACATATGTCCCGTTGTATTGTAACCAAATTCTTCTATTACATCTAGCAGCAGACATATAATACAACAGAACTATATATTATAAACATCCCATATATTGAGCTAACAATAACATTAATCTTAAGTGGGAGGAATAACAAACACATATAATTACAACTAAAGCATAAGAAGCAAATGCATTTTGTGCAATCATTGTCTGGATTTTGCATGATTACGATTCCATGGCGTATCGATCCCACATTCTGAGCTGCAAAATTAAAAAAGGACTAGACGACCCACCTCCTTTGATTCTTTTTTTAACCCTTTCCCATCTTCACAACCCAATAAACTACACAAAAGGACAGATTCCACCACCCCCATTCTCTTCTAATCATCATCACAGCCGGCTAACCACGAGCCCAACGGCCAAAGTAGCTACTGCCTAGTGAAAAAACAAAACACTAGCAGCTACTAAGCAGGGATTCCTTTTCATCCCCACAAGCAACCCACTTAACACAAGTGGTTGTTCAACCCTACCTTTCATAATTAACTAGAAAGAAATACATCATTTATATGGACGAATTTGAGACCACTCTCAAGTCTCAAGTGAGTTCAACACCTTAATTACTTTACCAGCAGTAATTTTGATGACGAAATCAATAGAAAATTTGTATCCTATGAGAATGACATTTGTAACCGAATGTAACTGAACATAAACATCATCCCCTCTTCTTCTCAATCTTGATGCATTAACAATAGTAAATGTATGTTTAAAAGGTACATTATTGAGAAGTGGGTATCATATGTCTTTTCTTCTAATCCTATTATATACATGCATTGAACTGAGACAGTGATTTTACTATAGAATCAAATATAGAGCATGAACTTGAGAAGAACAATGTTGATTGACAAAATTCTCCAAAACTAACCCACTCAAAAGTTGTTTTGATTATTTTAAATTTTTATCCTCTGAGAAAATAAGTTAAAAATAAAAAAAAGATATTTAATCCAACATAGAAAATGGCTATCATTGCTGTCATTATGATCACCATCATTAGCCAACGTTGTTTATTCATCCTCCTCATCAGCCTTCAGCATTCAAACAATATAAATTGGGAAAGAGATTGATCCATGGAGTATTGACTTAGCATAGCAAGAAGAGTAGCCAGAGAGAAGAAGCGCTCTCACAACAAATTAAAGAGATCCATCCGCAGCCGGTTTCCATGGTGTCGAGCTCCAGCGTGTTGGTGGGTTGGTGTCGGCCACGGCGGCGGCAAAGGAGGCGGAGGGGCAGCACCATAAGGCTAGGTAGCCGGCGGCGTGGTTTCTGGCTGGGGACACGGCCGCCGGCGGTGAAATGGGGATTGGTGGCGGCTCCGCTGAGACTGCTGAAGAGAATGATCATGGATTTAGCTCCTGATCATTCGGCCGCTTCTCCTTGTTTAGAGGCTTATTTCCGCAATTTACCCTTTTTACGTCCTCAAATTTTCCCTCTTTGCTGAATCACTCCTCACTGTCATCAATCAACAAAATTTTCGTCCACTCTGCTTTTTTTTTTTCCTCTGGAAGAAAAGTCTGTACGAAATTGGATAAAGATACAATTATGGGGTATGTATTTGGCTTGTCACGAAACATTGAGGGGTGAAGTTACGGCCAAATAATAATATTTTGTTCGATAAAAATTATGAGAAGGACTAACCCGACCCGGATCCGGATTAACAATGACCCGCTCCGACTCCTAGCCTTATCAGGAACGGAGCCCCCTTTCTTCTTGATGCCAAAATTTCCCCGGAGAACCAAATCGAGGAGCAGAGCAGAGGCAAGCAATCATGGCGCTTATGCTCTCTTCACAGACCGGCGCCGTCCTCCAAGCTCCTCCGCTCCACAGGCACAATCCCGGCAGGATCGCGGCCGCCGCATCTCTGCCATTGCCGAAACCTCTTCTCCCGAGACTATCACTCTCCCATCGAATTAACGCCCCAAAATCCAGGGTTAGGGTTTTGGCTGCGCTATCCTCGCCAGTCCCCACGCTGTCTCCTCCATCCGATTCCCAAATCGCGCTCACCGGAGCAACGCGGACGGTCACCACAATCGTAACCCTAGCCTTGTCCCTGTCGCGCCTGCTCGTCAACAAGCTCGCTCTGTCGGTGCCGGGATGTGCGATCGGCTCGGGCGCGGCGGCGGCGGTTCGCTCCGCCGGCCCTCTCTTCTTCGCGGCGCTCAAGGACCGCCCCAGCGGATATCTCAACACCCCGTTGACCGTGGTGGCGGCGGGGCTGGCGAAGTGGCTGGATATCTACAGTGGCGTGCTGATGGTGAGGGTGCTGCTGAGTTGGTTCCCGAACATCCCGTGGGAGCGGCAGCCATTGTCGGCTATAAGGGACCTGTGCGACCCGTATCTCAACTTGTTCAGGAACATCATCCCTCCCATTTTCGATACCCTGGATGTGAGCCCGCTGCTAGCCTTTGCTGTTCTGGGGACGCTTGGGTCTATTCTCAACAGCAGCAGGGGAATGTATTGAGACAAGGAAGAGTAAGAAATGTGGTGCAAGTTTCAGGTCTTTCAGTCATTTTCGATTTCTGCAATCTCATAGCTTAGCTTTCGGGTTCAAGTGATTCTGGGCGAGGGAGCAATGGTGCATCGTATAAATCTGCATCGATTGTACAAGTATCTCAAGTTTGGATCCCCAGTTTAGAACTATTTTTTTGGTGATGAATCAGGGTTTAATCATATATAGTCCTGTACTTTGTACCTCGGAGATTATGCGAATAATGTATTGGATGGATGATCTTCATCTTTATCTAGTACATTGTGAAGTATTAATTCATTCTGCTAAGAATTATCAGGTCATGTTATTCTGTACCTGGAAATGGTTAGCACCTCCAGACTGTAGCCTTATTTATAAAGTCAGATGGGAGCCAGTCCGATTCTTGAACGAAACGAATGATTTAAGTCGATGCAATCGATCGATGTGTGTGCTTGTCTGCTGCGAAGCTGAGACTGAAGCAATGAAACAATGTTCAGGACAGTTCATTTGTTGATTCTGCACTGTATTATACATAGAAATGCTGCTAGTGAAACATGAAAGTGAAAGTGAAATGCGCTTTTAATATATACATGGAGGAAAGTCAAACTACAAACATGATCGGCCGGCCAAGCAGGAATACTCCCCAGCAAGCAAGCAAAACAGCTGACCAAGAAAACAATGCCGCTGCTTCTTCACACACACACAAAATGAAGCATTGCAAACGTACACCGCCGAAAAGCCAAGTTCAGATTTTGTTATCACTAGGCTACTTCTTTCCAAAGAAGGAAAGGAGGGTTGGCTGTTTATTATCGCCATCATTCTTCGACTTGGCCTTTTTCCCTGCCGGACTTGCCACCTCCAGCCGTTTGCTTTCATGTGTCCTTGCTATCGTCTGGTTTTCATCAATTGAGTCATCAAATTCCCGCTTCACTTTAGACTTCTGAGCAGTGTCTACAGAAGGAGCGACGCTCGGTTTTATGTCCTCGTCTGCTGCCACTTCAGGGGAGGGTGTAATGTCTAACTTGTCTTCGTTGTCAACTTCCTCCTTGACGCTTTCTGTGAGATCTTTCTTCACAGGTTCATGAGGCTTACACGTGTCTTCTGGTTCCGGATCTTCTTGTTCTTTGACTTCCTTCTTCACAAAGAATTTTGATATGGTGCCTTTGTCCTCTTTCTTCAATTGTACCTGCAACCACAATAGAAAGGCTCTCATGTAATCGCTTTTTCGATGAGTTGAACATCACAAATGCACCTCAGGTCGACGGATAGTGAAACTGCAGAAGACTCTGAACAGCAGCAAACCTCTTTGATACACTCAGGTCCATCGAAACCGATTTTTCCCATAGCAGATGTGACTGGGTACCACACCTGGAAGATTTAAAAAACTGGGTCATAGCCTTGCCCCGTGTTTAAGTTTTGGTGTTTGAACAGCTGGAGGTGTTTAAATCGCCATGTGAGTTGTTACCAGATCTGAATGTTGGTAAGGCTTGAGCAGTGAATCATAAGGATCACCATTTAGCCAAGCGTCAGTCGCCTCTTTATCCCCCAAGATTACAGGCATCCTATCTGCAGTAAAGATCAACTAATTAGTTTCTTGCTAATTGTTATGTACCAAACACAAGTCAAAATAACATAGCATTAGTCATTCCTAAAACATTGCATTAGCCATTCTAATATGACAGAAAGCGGCTCTAGCCTGTAATTATATAATCTCAAATGTGTTTCTTCAACTAAAAGATTAGATACTTCATTCCCTTCCAAGAGAATATATGAACCAGAACAAAAGATTATACTAAATAGAAACTTAAACAAGAGGATCTTCCTAAAACAAAAACTACTTACCATGTAGCCACTTTAGTGCTGATGATGATGAAGTTGTAAGGATGGTAAATGTGTAGAGCGTCTCACCTGCAGCAATGCTAAATGTCAATCGATGAACGGATTCAGTTACCAGAGGTTCAAGCAATGTTCACTTTGCTTTTTAGAAAACGGGAGTTCAACTAGAAGAAACCATGGTAAACGAAGCGCAAAAAAATGGTTACAGAAGAAAAAAAAATACAAACATAAAGGCTGCACAGTATAAGCAGGGAGCCTAAAAAGGCATTAGCAGCAACAAAACCTTAGAGAAGAATGTATATAGATCCACTTTACAATGTTAGCCAATCTCAAGGTAAAACAAGAGAAGGTATTCACCTTCAGAGTTGTTCCAAGAATCATAAAGAGCAGCAAATGTGAGAGGACGGCCATCCCTGAAATGAATGTGGTAAGGCTGCTTCTTAGACCCATCTTTCTTCCACTCATAGAATCTGCAGTATATGTGGAAAGCAACAATGCATTGCAAACGTTAAGCATCACAGATGATGGTGACAGAATGTTCTGAATTCTGTATTAATTTGCTAAAACATAATCGGCCCAATACAGTCATGAAAGCAAACAAAGGGACAGGCAACAACATTAACCAAACTGGCCTGTGGCCTAGCAGGCCAGAAAGAGCTCCCACTTCATCCCTAGCATATATTTTACACTCAATAAGTCATAACAACAAAAATGTTCTGAAACATGCCAGCATTGAGCTCTTGATGAGGTCTAATCTGCAGAAGACTCGAAGAGAATGAGCTATGAAGCAGAAAATGGACCATGAATTTCAGACATACCCTTCCACTGCCACAAGACACCGGTTTTTAGGAAGTAGACGACGAAAGGAAGCCTTCTCAGCAACAGACTCCGATCGTGCATTGAACTACATGATGTATGGTTGATGGACCAGATTATAAGTAGGGTTACGAGACAATTATCAAGCAACAATGGAAGCAAAGGCGAGGATATCATATGAAACTCTGCAATGAATCGGCCTATCTAGTACTCGGGGAACCAATCCCCTAACATTCACTGAACACTTCTAGAACTGTAGAAGTTAAACTAGGTTATACAGACCGAGTTCCTCAAACCTCTAACCAGAGTTCCATTATGACAACGGCCTAACAAAATCGAGGGGGGGAAAGAAGCTAAAGCAGATTCGGATAATTACCATCCTAAAGAAGTCAGGCTTCTCGTTTTTCTTGGTGAAACTAGGAACTAATCCCCACTTCATACAGTGAACAGCGTAGCCGTCGCCGTCCGACGCAACGTCCCGGCGAACAACCGGCATATTCCACCCCGGTCCAACGTTGTACGACGGCCTGTACCTGAAAACGAATGTTAAAACACCGAGGTCAGACCACGAAATCTAGAGAAATCGAGAGAACAGGAGAGAGGAAATGGGTCTAGTACCGGTCAACGTCAATCATCTGCGAGGGGCCGCCGGTGTGGTGGCAAGCCCTAGGAACGTCGGCGGCGCCTAGAGTACAGCGAGTTCTACCACACATCTCTCCAGCTACGAGTAATTGATTCCTCCGTCTGTTCAGTTTCGGCTTGTTGCCGGCGGTTTCCAGTCTTCTCTTATGGCGGGAACAGAGGGCGGGCTACTTGCTTCGCTCCAGCCTCCAGTGCTGGGATTAGTGAGTGTCGTGTAAGCCACTTGGAAACCGTTGGATACAAAATTATTTGCTCGAGATTCGGAGACATCAAATCATGATTGCGGTTTGCGGGTACCAAGTTCTTAAACCTCTATCAGATTTCCGGATGGATTCGGTCCGATTTAAGTTGGGTTTTAAAATGGCCTACAGAAAGCCTTCCGGTTTGACTCTTAAAGAGGGAGAAGAAGAAAGCAGGGAAAGAGAAAGAAGAACAAAAGAATGGAGATAGTGGGTGAGTTGTGGAGGTTAAGTGAATTTATTTTGTGAAAAATAAGTTTTTAATAGATATAAGATAAATTTCATTACATACATAAAATCTTTAATTATTATTGTTGGGTCACACATTGAGCCACACGGCCCATAAGCCCAAGAAGCACTCAAGGCCCACACAAGAGCAAACAAGGCCCAAAGAAGGAACGGAAGCGAAGGCGGTTCCACGATACTGAAGGGGCCGCCCGACGCGATAAGGGACTAACGGCAAGGGACCGCCCGACATTCTGGATCCTACGTACGGAACCTGACAAGGAGCACGGAGGAATCCAGAGGCGTCCTTGAGGTCCGATGCCAAAGAAACGCCCGACATTCTGGATCCTACGTACGGACTCTGACAAGGGGCACCGGGGAATCCAGAGGCGCCCTCGAGCGCCCGACACAACATTAAATGCACAAGGCTCAGCCGAGACTAGTATAAATACCCCTCATAGGATCACATTTATGGTAACTTCAACCAACTCCATTCTCTCTCTTATTTACTCACACTTCACTTCTCTCACTAACTTAAGCATCGGAGGAGGTCCCAGGAACCCCCTGAGGACCTTTCTGCAGGGTTTCGAAGACCGCCCACGACCATCGAAGCCGCCCAAGGCCAGTGGAGTCTCACCGAACCGCTTGGTACATTCTGAGCACAAACATTTTGGCGCCCACCTTGGGGCCCCACTACTTTGTGGCGAACGAGATGGGAGACGATTTCGAAACCCCCCTCAAGGGGATGACCGAAAACAACACCCTCCGAGGCCTATCACCGAGAATCGAAGATGAGCCCGAGCTAGAAGAAGTGGTCAAGAACCAAGGGAGGCAAATTGCGAACATGCAAGACAGCCTCTCCCAAATTCTCCAGCTCCTGAAGACCCGAGATGACCCCGCCGAGGGATCGAAGGGAAGGACGCGCGACGAGAAGCTGAAAGGCGCTTTCATCCTCGACAGCCCTGCTCGGACAGAAGGCGGAGGACTAGAGGCCGATGACCTGGACCTCAACTTTCTAAAGGAGCATTTGCGGTCAACCTTCGGGAAGCACAAGGGCCCGAACGTTCTACAAAACCCCCTATCGAGAGAACTCTTCAAGACTCCGGTCCCCCCGAACTTCTCCTCTCTGGGACTACCAACCTATGGTGGGACATCCAATCCCGCCGACCATCTTTGCGCGTTCATGTTGAAAATGCAACTCATCAACGCCACGGACTCGGATCTGTGTCGTGCGTTCCCCGTTACCTTCAGCGGTCAATGCCGAACTTGGTACACCTCCCTTCCGGAAGGGATTATAGAAAACTTTGAGCAGTTTGCGATGCTCTTCTCCACCAAATTCGCGTCTCAACGGCGTCGCAAACTCACCATCTCGGCACTCATAGGTTGCCGACAAAGGAAGGAAGAGTCGCTTGCTGAGTTCTATGACCGATGGAACGCGATAGCTTGCGAAATAGACGGTATCTCCCCAGTCGTGGCCGCCAGAAACCTCCCAATCTCGACAACTAGTCTCGAGCTGAAAAGAACGTTGATAAAAAAGGAGGCGGCCTTGGCGGCCTGGTCTGACTTAGACCAATTGGTACGGCGAGCGATCTTGTTGGAGGAAGCACTAGCCAACGACGACCGAGGCCAGCAAGGTCGTCCCCGCGGAGACGCCTCAGAACGTGGAGAGTCCCGGAGGGGAAGGCGGTCCCCAGACCGAAGGTCGTACCGGAACAGGTACCCCGACCGAGAAGGAAGAAGAGACGTCATTTCCACCGACAGGGAAAAGGGAAGGGACCGAAGGAAAGGCGGAAGGAAGCACGAGACGTCTTCCGTCCAAGAACCGCAGGAGGGAAAAAAGTGGTGCGACTGGCACCAAATCACAACCCATGACACCACGGAGTGTAGGGAGTTCAAGGCCACGCTCCGACATCTGGCCCCAGGAGACCTTAGAAGCAAGCTAGAGATGAGGCGGTCCCACAGAGAGCACTCAGCAGAAGAGCGGGAGGAGTCCCCGAGTCCCGAGCAGGACAAGACGAGACGCCCAAGAAAGGAAAGGTCAAGGTCCCGCTCTCGAAACAAAGTCACCTCCCCAAGGCAGTCTCCTCCCTACAGAGCTCCCCGAAATGAAGATGATGGGATGGAAGTCATAACGATCGCAGGAGGGCGGAAGCGCCCAAGAACCGAAGGAGACCGCATCGCTCAATGTCTTAACGTGCAGCGGAGGGCACCGACCGAGGTCGCCTTCTTGCCGTCTGAGTTGGCCAACGAAGAAAACTTGGAGGACCCCTTGGTCATTTCCTTTCGAACCGCCAAGTTCAAAGTCACTAGAGCCCTGGTCGATAATGGGAGCTCGGCGGACATACTATTCTACTCAGCGCTCAAAGGGATGAAGAAGAGCGTCCAAGACCTCAACCCTTCCACCACCAGCTTGGTAGGGTTCTCCGGCACTAAAGTCCGTGTCCTCGGCTCGATCACGCTCAAAGTCACCATAGGAGAAGGAGGAATCACAAAGACCAGACCGGTAGAGTTTCACGTGGCGGATTGTCCTTCGGCATATAACGCCATTCTCGGACGCGGCTTCCTAGCTTCGTTTGAGGCGGTCGCATCCACCTGCCACCAGATGCTTAAGTTCCCAAGCGGAGGACAAACCGGGCGTGTTCGGGGTAACCTAAAGGAGGCTAGAGAATGCTACCAAGCCACCATCGAACACCTCGAAGTTGATCTGGTCGACACTAGAGGCGACGTTCCGAGACCGGAAGCGGTCGAGGGGGATGTAGCGGTCGCCCTCGACGCAGAGCGGCCAGAGAGGGCAGTGCGTATCTCCGCGCACCTTGCCCAAGAGGAGGCTCAGAAACTACTCACACTCCTCAGAGAGTTCCAAGACCTCTTCGCATGGGGACCGGAGGACATGCCCGGAGTCCCCCGAAAGGTCTCCGAGCACCGCCTCTCGGTCAAAGCCAAAGCGCGTCCCATACAGCAGCGAAGGAGGCATCTGTCAGTCGAAAAACAAATGGCACTGGAAGAGGAGGTACGACGCCTCCTCAAAGCCGGATTCATCAGAGAGGTCAAGTACCCCACTTGGCTCTCAAATCCGGTCTTTGTGCGCAAGGCTGGAGGCGCTTGGAGAATGTGCATCGACTTCACCAGCCTCAATGCGGCCTGTCCCAAGGACGCATATCCTCTCCCCCGCATTGACCAGCTCATAGATGGGACCGCCAATCATGAAGCCCTCAGCTTTCTGGACATGTTCTCCGGATACCACCAGATCAGAATGGCGGACGAGGATCAAGAACTCACCGCTTTCATGACTCCCATGGGCAACTTCTGTTACGTAGTTATGCCCTTCGGACTGAAGAACGCGGGGGCGACCTACCAGCGGATGGTGGATGCGGTCTTTAAGGAGCAAATGGGACGGAACGTGGAGGCCTACGTTGACGACGTGCTAGTCAAAAGTAAGAAAGCAAGTGACCACCTGTCCGACCTGAGGGAAACCTTCGAAACGCTGAGGAAGAAGAATCTAAGGCTCAACCCGCTTAAATGCGTCTTCGGCGCCGAGGCAGGTAAATTCCTAGGGTTCATGATCACAAAACGAGGGATAGAGGCCAACCCAAAGCAAATCGAGGCCATACGCGTCTTGAAGCCGCCGAAGACCATCAAAGAAATCCAGGTGTTCAATGGAAAGATGGTCGCGCTCGGAAGATTCATCCCGCGGTCTGCTGACAAATGCTCTCCCTTCTTCCAAATGCTGAAGAAATCGGCATCAAGGCTCCAATGTGGCGCCGAGTGCGACAAGGCCTTCCAGCTGTTGACAGACCAGCTCAGCCAACCGCCAGTTTTGAGTGCCCCCATCAGTGGAGAGCGGCTTTACCTCTACCTAGCGGTCTCCGAGCAAGCTGTGAGTTCCGTCCTGGTGAGAAGAGCGCAAGACGGCTCTGACCGCCCTGTTTACTACGTGAGCAAGGCGTTTCTTCCCGCCGAAACGAGATATTTGCCCGTCGAAAAGGCGGTTCTCGCAGTCGCCTCCGCGGCAAGAAAGTTGCGACCATACTTCCAAGAACACCCGATAACGGTGCTATCCCACCTCCCGCTCAAAAGCATTATGAGGGGCATGGACGCCTCGGGTCGGCTGACCAAGTGGGCAATCAAGCTGAGCGAATATGACATCGAGTACGCCCCCAGGCCCGCCATTAAGGGGCAAGTCCTGGCCGATTTCATCGCCGAAGGACTCTCCCTCGAAACCGCTCCTTCCGAGGAGCGCAATCAAATATGGCGTCTGTTCATAGAAGGCGCCGCCGGAAGGACCGCCTCTGGGGCAGGGATCGTCATTGAGTCTCCCGAAGGAGTGGTACATGAAATATCGCTAAGGTTCAAAGAGATCAAGACCAACAATGTCGCTGAATACGAGGCGCTAATCAATGGGCTTCGAATATTGTCCACCCTAGGGGCAACTGACGTGCAAATATTCTCCGACTCCCTCCTAGTCGTCAAACAGGTCCTAGAGGCGTTCGAGATCAAGGACGAGAGGCTAGCGGCATTGGCAACCAGTGTGCGCGACGCCCTATCCCAGCTGAGCTCGTGGAAACTAGAGCATGTCCGAAGAGAGGACAATCAACATGCAGACGCGCTTTCCAAGCTCGCAACCGCCATGGACTTCGAAGGCGACCGACATGTCACCGTCACCAAAGAAAGTGAATCCCCAGAAGAAGTCATGAGCATCGAAGAAGCCGCTGACTGGCGAACCCCCATGATCCAATACCTGGACCACGACGTTACCCCGCAA